GGCTGCCATCATAGTTGAAGTGGGTATGAGCCAGCACGCTGGCTACCGTCATAGTTGAAGTGGGTAAGCCAGCACGCTGGCTGCCATTGTTGAGATGGCAAAGCCGGCACGCTGGCTACCATCATAGTTGAAGTGGGTAAGCCAGCACGCTGGCTGCCATTGTCCCCTTACCAGCCAGCAGCCCAAATGCTCACGACGATGAGCTGGGCTGTCACCGCTTGGCCGCCGGTGGGGGGTTTGGGAGGCCGCATCACACACAGACACCCACACACTCCCTCAACTTACACGAACACACACATACGCAGACTCATTTCCACGCGGACATAGACACACGCACAGAAACCCACACACTACCTCAACTCACTCGACTTCGTTTAGTTTCGTATGTCGTTTCGCGTTTCGTTTCGCGTTGCGTTTCGTTTCGTTTCGTTTCGCCGAATCAACTCCACTCCACCTATGTCGATTACCTAGATCATCGAGCATCATGATGGGCACCTTTTATCTCTCCAATTTGGGCATGCTCTCCGCAACCGAGAATCTCCATGACCCGTTCACGTCACATGTTTCACATGTTCATGACGTGTGGCCATCTAGCTGAAGCCACTAAGCTACTAGCTACTAGCAGGAAACCTACGTAACACTTCACACCGCACACTTACCGGATAACTCGCACTCTGACTTCCTACGTGATGAAAAATGCTTTCGGGCCACTCGTCGTCTAGTTTGCAGGTCACTCAGGTGCAGTGCAGGTCACTCAGCTCCGTTTGGTGGTGGACCGGGCCCTTTTTGGGACGCCTTTTCCGATCGAGGTGACTCTGGTGACCTTGAACGCTCTTGTTGGATTGGGTAAGAACCATGGATGGGCCAAAGGCATGGACTTTGCGATGAGATCAGCAAAAGAACTACATCTTCAAATTGAGACTTGGCTCCAAGGTCTTCTGAAGAAAAGAAAAATTAATGTAAGGGCCCTTTAACAAGGCCTCTTTTTCCCAAAAGCATCTCCGATGCTTGGGTTCTGGTTTGGTCGCTAGTGCCGCGGAAGAGCGTGACGAAGCGTGCGTTGTCGGGGACGGAAGATGGATGTGGAGGTGGACGGGGTTACCAAGGGAAGATGGAGGGGAGCGAGACGGGAGGCGCATGGGTGGACGGGGCTGGGGATGGAAGATGGAGGTGAGTGAGGACGGGCTCCGGGCGGGAGGCGAACACAGGGCTGGGGACGGAAGATGGAGGTGAGTGGGGACGGGCTGGGGGAGGGAAGATGGAGAGGAGCGAGACGGAGGTGTAAGTGGGAAGATGAGACGGGAGGTGCGTGGGTGGGGACGGGGCTGGGGAGGGATGGAGGGACGGGGCTGGGGAGAGAAGATGGAGGGGAGCGAGACGGGAGGCGCATGGGTGGGGACGGGACTGGGGAGGGAAGATGGAGGGGAGGGAGAGGGGGGGGGGGGCTGGGGGAGAGAAGATGGAGGGGAGCGAGACGGGAGGCGCACGGGGCTGGGGACGGAAGATGGAGGTGAGTGGGGACGGGGCTCAGAGGGAAGATGGCGGGGAGTGAGACGGGAGGTGGATGGGTGGGGACGGGGCTGGGGAGCGAGACGGGAGGTGCCTGAGTGCATGGGTGGGGACGGGACGGAAGATGCGCCAGACATCAAGTCATGGCCAACACGGCAGGATTGTTGCGCGCCAAAAGCGCAATGCGTGAAGTTGGATGGTTGGAACGAACCATGGAGGGGGCTGATGCTGCTCCATGCTTGCTGGAACGGTTGTCAGAAGCCATGTTGCAATCGTTTTATGACCGTTTTGGAGGGCTTTCAAAACTGACCAAGGGGTGGACGGGGTGTATATGGCAGACAGGGGTGGACGGATGCGCGCCAGAACCGCGATGCTTGAAATAGCATGGTTGCCACGAAGCCTGGAGGGGCCGATGCTTCGTTTTGGACTGCTAATGTGTGTTTGTTTATTTTTCCTGGGTTGTGCGCTTCTTTTTGCTTTTGGGTCCGCGGGCTCACCTTGTTTGATATTCTAATGGGTTCGAAAACGTTCAGGGAAGTCTTAAAGTTGAGCAATCTCCACCTGTGGCTGCCTGGCTGTTCAAAAACTGTTCGCAGAATGATATTCAGAATTGGTGTAACCGTTGACCGGAAATCAGCGATGCTTTGGTTGACCAGGATATGATAACTTACAGTGGGCTTTTGCATGAGAGTGCATGGCAAGATGCTTTCATTCTTCTTTCGAGAGCCATGCAAGAGACACTAGCTTCAGATGAGATTTCCTTTGGCGCTGCAGCAACAGCTTGTCAGAAAGCTGGGCGGTGGCAGGGGGCCGTACTTTTGCTGCAAGACTTGAGAGCCTCTTGCATTCATTAGGCTGGTGTTTGTTGGGAGGGCAAGTGGACCAAGTGGAGCTTCTTTCTGGAAATTGCCCAAGTAAAGGGTGAGCTTCCTGTTCAGCAATTACCAAAGAGACAACCAATTGAAGCGCTGTTTCTATCCACGCTTGCCAACAGAAGAACGCATGGACGGAGCAGTCTGGAAAGTCTCTCCAAAAAGCACGTAGACGCTTGGAAGGTCCACTCTTTCTCTGGATGTTAAAGAAAAGGGATCAAAACTTAAAACTCATACGTAGCCTTCTTCGAGAGCTCTTCGAATAAAACTAATCTTTCTTCTCTTCTCCAGTTCCATTTTTTAGTTCAGCTCGTTCTTGCTGCCAAGGATCAGCACGGCGTGCAGCCAGACGCCTTGAACTTTCATGCGACGATTGCCCCATCAACAACGGATCCCAGCACCGCGTGGCGTCATTCTTTGGGCGTTTTGCAAACTGCACAGAGTTCTCAAATCGAAAGCCACGCAGCGAAACGAATGCGAATTTGCAGGTCAAATGTTCGGCCGAAATGTACGTGAGGAAATCATGACTTCTTTTTTGGCACTACAACTGACCGGTTCTGCAGTTGTTCTGCAGTTTTGATAGGTCCTTCAGGTGTAGCGATGACCTCCAACCTCCCTACTAGCGATGGCCTCTAAGGCGTCCTCAGCTACAGCACAGCGATGAGTTCAATCAACCAAGTCCTCCGCTCGGGCTCATCGGGCGCATCGCGCTCCTGGGATCGCTCCCTCTCCCTGATGGACAAGTGGGGCACCTTGTTCCTAGTAGCGATGCCAGGAGCCCCTAGTAGCGAACCTTGTTCCTAGTAGTATGGCTTGGGGCCCCTAGTAGTGAACCTTGTTCCTGGTAGTAAGGCCAGGAGCCCCTAGTAGCGAACCTTGTTCCTAGTAGTGAGGCCAGGGGCCTCTAGTACCTAGTAGCGATGCCAGGAGCCCCTAGTAGCGAACCTTGTTCCTAGTAGTAAGGCCAGGAGCCCCTAGTAGCGAACCTTGTTCCCAGTAGTTAGGCCAGGTGCCCCTAATAGCGACCCTTCTTAGCCCTAGTAGCGAACCTTGCTCCTAGCAGTTAGGCCAGGAGCCCCTAATAGCTAACCTTGTTTCGAGTAGGCTCAGGGATGCCAGGAACCCCCAGTAGCGAACCTTGTTCCTAGTAGGATTAGGGATGCCAGGAGCCCCTAGTAGGGAACCTTGTTCCTAGTAGTTAGTCCAGGAGCCCCTAATAGCTAACCTTGTTTCTAGTAGGCTTAGGGATGCCAGGAACACCCAGTAGCGAACCTTGTTCCTAGTAGGATTAGGGATGCCAGGACCCCCTAGTAGGGAACCTTGTTCGTAGGCCAGGAGCCCCTAGTAGCGAACCTTGTTCCCAATAGTAAGGCAAGCAGCCCTAGTACCGAACCATGTTCCTAGTAGTTAGGCCAGGAGCCCCTAATAGCTAACCTTGTTCCTATTTGTTCCTGGTAGTAGGGCCAGGTGCCCCTAGTAGCGAACCTTGTTCCTAGTAGTAAGGCCAGGAGCCCCTAGCAGCGAACCTTGTTCCCAGTAGTACGGCCAGGAGCCCTAGTAGCGAACCTTGTTCCTAGTTGTTAGGCCAGGAGCCCCTAATAGCTAACCTTGTTCCTAGTAGTAGGGCCAAGAGCCCCTAGTAGCGAACTTTGTTCCTAGTAGTAGGGCCAGGGGCCCCTAGTAGCGAACCTTGTTCCCAGTGGCGATGCCAGGAACTCCCAGTAGCGAACCTTGTTTCTAGTAGGCTTAGGATGCCAGGAGCCCCTAGTAGCGCACCTTGTTCCCAGTAGCGATGCCAGGAGCCCCCAGTAGCGAAACCTTGTTCCTAGTAGTTAGGCCAGGAGCCCCTAATGGCTAACATTGTTCCTAGTAGTAGGGCCAGGAGCCCCTAGTAGCGAACCTTGTTCCTAGTAGCGATGCCTTCCTAGTAGTAAGGCCAGGAGCCTCTAGTACCTAGTAGCGATGCCAGGAGCCGCTAGTAGCGAACCTTGTGCCCAGTAGTTACGCCAGGAGCCCCTAGTAGCGAACCTTGTTCCTAGTAGTATGGCTTGTGGCCCCTAGTAGAGAACCTTCTTCCTACTAGTAAGGCCAGGAGCTCCTGGTAGCGACCCTTGTTCCCATAGTAAGGCCAGGAGCCTTTAGTACCTAGTAGCGATGCCAGGAGCCCCTAGTAGCGAACCTTGTTCCTAGTGGTAAGCCAGGAGCCTCGAGTACCTAGTAGCGATGCCAGGAGCCCCTAGTAGCGAACCTTGTTCCTAGTAGTAAGGCCAGGGGCCTCTAGTACCTAGTGGCGATGCCAGGAGCCCCTAGTAGCGAACCTTGTTCCTAGTAGGGATGCCAGGAGCCCCTAGTAGCGAACCTTGTTCCTAGTAGTTAGGCGAGGCCCCTAGTAGCGAACCTTGTTCCTAGTAGGCCAGGAGCCTCTAGCACCTAGTAGCGATGCCAGGAGCCCCTAGTAGCGAACCTTGTTCCTAATAGTAAGGCCAGGAGCCTCTAGTACCTACTAGCGATGCCAGGAACCTTGTTCCTAGTAGTAAGGCCAGGAGCGATGCCAGGAGCCCCTAGTAGCGAACCTTGTTCCTAGTAGTAAGGCCAGGAGCCTCTAGTACCTAGTAGCGATGCCAGGAGCCCCTAGTAGCGAACATTGTTCCTAGTATTGAAAGGTTTTAACAACCAAAAGAAGCAAAAGTGAGGCATTGCTGGTGCCCAGAATGCACTGATGAACGGAGCTGAATGGTTTGTGGCCTCATGGCTTTTGGAGGATTTGGACTTGAGGCTGGAGAGAAGCAACAAGCTTCACTGTCTCGACGTTGAATAACCGTGTGCATCCATTTGTTTGCACCCCTCCAACCAGCCGCGCCTTCCCGTCCCCACAAGGCGCTTGGAAGCAGATGTGTTTTCTTACAGTGCCATAATTACTAGTTTGTCATCCCACTGGGAGTTGGCTCTTCAGATGCTTCGTCGTGCAGAAAAGCATCTCCGAGCGAAACTCGGTCAGATTGCCAAGTCCTTTGCTATTAATAAGTTTGTGCCTCTTCGCCTTTGCCCATGTCTTATTTTAATGCGCTTTCCAAAGTCTAGGCCAACTTTGCGTTTAGCTTATGATCAATTCCAGAGTGTGCTAGTGCTTGTGGGCGTGACCCACTCCACCAGCTAGGAATTCAATCATGTATAATGCCACCATCAGCGCTTGCGATCAATCAGCAGAATGGCTGATTGCTTTGCAGCTCTTGGAGGAAGCTCACGCTGCCAATGAACTTGATGTAGCTTGGTCAGCAGTGTGAACTGTGTGAACTGGGCTTTCAAAGCCACTTTGCTTTTCACACATGTTCTCAGGTGATCAGTTTCAATGCTGCTATCAGTGCGTGCGAAAGAGCAGAACAGTGGGCTGCGAAAAGTGCAGGGCACCAGGTTTCGTGTGAGCAGTTTCGAGTTTGATGTCGCGCTCTAGGCATGAGTGAGAGGAAAGGCAGAGAGGATGCTGGACGGTGGAAGTTCCTGCAGATGATTCTTAGTTTGGTGAACAGCTGGAATCACAGGTGTGCCGTTCACCTGGCAAAAAGAAAGCTATGATAATGGTGTTTATTGGAGGTGCCTGCTCTGCGTCGCTGGGCGCGTTCAAGTTGCAGCATTTGCTGCTCGGTCTCGTCTGGAATTGGCTATGAAAGGATGTGATGCTGGGTTATGCTTGTGTTTGTGTCATGGATGCCACATGAAACCATCGCAGCAGTTGTAGTCCGGAAACGCTATTATTCGGCGATTAATCCTCATGGTGGTATCGATCGAAATCTGATGGTCAAGAATTGTGCTTTTCATTTGGCGCCAGCCCCCAAAGCTTAAAGCGCACATAGCCACACATCTGGAATTTGCAGTGGCATTATACTTTGAGTGAAAACCCCAATAGTTTTCGCTCTCTGGGATTATAATTATTTGCTTTACGGGAAAGAAAATATCATAAAAATATTATAACGGAATATGTTTCAATATAAATTATATAATATATTTCCAACAAAAGCCCAAGACAATTAATATATCCCTGATATAATTTCTAAGATAGCTTTAGGCTAATATACATTAATATAAACCTATTATAGGCCTAACTTAGGCTAATATAAGCTTAATATAAAATAATATAGGTCTAATATAAATTTAATATAGGCTTAAAATGGATATAATAGAGATTATATAAATACAATTCGACTTAATTTAAGGCTAAAATAAATAAAAGGACCCGATAACCCCATATGATAAGTTTCACAAGTTTTAATTGTATATGAACATTAGTTGGGAGACGGAGTAGTGAGATGAAAAGTTAAGAAGGAAGTGTGAGGCGGTTATGTTGAGACGTGTAGTATAAGTGATGATGTGATGGACGAGGATGAGAAGGAGGGGAGGGAGGAGTTGTGTGTGTGTAGTGAGATGGCGTG